CTGTTAAAAAGAAGGAAAGCAACAATCAAGCGCTATTCTTGTGCGTTCTAAATCAAGCATATAAATACGTTGAAAAAGACAATGCATTAAGGGGTTGCAAGCATCTGTGTGGAGCGAGGGAAATACGTTGAGAAAACAAAGTTAACAACGAAATAGTACAAGAAACATGAAAAGGAATTTGGGACATGCCGCTAAAACCTGACACACCTCACTAGCGGAGAGCTTCAGGTGGTGAGGATGCAGTCGCCGTTTAAAATTTTCGCCATGGAAGTAGGCACTAATTCGCATATCACGTTGACGCATTGACTGCTTAGGGGTAAAGTTAACAGCACCGGAAGATCTCGGCAATCGAATTATAGTAACATCCTTTAGCAAGTCCTCTTGCAAGAAAGTGCTTAGAAAGCCATCCTCAATGACCAAAACTATGTCCACTTCAAAAGCTGTCGCTGTTGCCCGAATAGCCTCCAAACCCGTCTCCTTTCTTTCCGGTGTTTTTGAGAAGCCACCCATTTTTATAATGCATCCACTTGAAAACACCTTGCTATCATTCTCTGATCGTATGTTAACCAGCTCAGCCAATTGGTTCACCTATTCCGGTAGAAAGGCATTAAAGATAGCCGAGCTTGCCTGCTCTGTGAACAAATTTAGGTTTGCTGACGGATCTAGATGGCCATAACAGAATACTAAGGGATCTTCCTCCAAACCCCACCCCTCCAACAGATCATATGGCTTTGTGACTGCCAGAGCCGCGATGGTTGACGGAATACAGATCTACAAAATCGTTAAATGTAGATTCCCGTGTACCTGATTCAGACCAACATTGACGTCAACGAGGACTGGTTTTGAACCACGTCTAGCAGCGTAGTTTACCAAGGTCCTGCAGAGGACAGATTTGCCGACATTTTCAGGTCCACATACCAAAACACGAGGCCCACGAGATTGGTCTTCTGTAGCCTTCTTACGGGCTTCCTGAAGATTCGCATGAATGTTAACGTAGACGTGGAGAAGATCATGATCTTCAACAGCATCCATTACGAAAGCGTCGAGTCCCGAGCCTTTGACAGTGATTTTACAGCCGTGAAAAGTGACAACGGTCCCCCTTTCACCTTCCTGCAGATCAAGATCGGTGCCACAAACGAGTTCTGTGCCAAAAATCTCTGCCTTTCCCGAGGTCATGACAATTTTGACCTGTGCGTTGGCCTCATAGCGCAGCATTTGGTACTTCTCA